CATGTGCTCACGATTCGAGCAAACCTGCCTTAAGTGACATATTTGCAAAAGCGGATACCTGCGTTGTTGCGACAAAACCCTAGGTCGATTAGTTTTTGGTTCTCCAAATGTTTTTCGAGTAAATCACAATATAAGTGCTAGTCCACATAATTATAATAGTACAATCAAAACTTTGCATATTGGTGTTTCGGTATAAAAAAGGGGGTTTTATTTATTTTCATTTTTCAACTGGAAAAGAATTTCAGTTGAAAATTATAATAAAAGTTTGGATTTTGGTAATAACTACTTATCATCGTTCACTTTATTTTATTTATTTATGATTTTTAAAAAATATTTTTAGATGATTATTAAACATCTTATTAAGTGAAATCACACAAAATTTAGTTTTAGCGGCTAATGCTTTTATGTTATGAACAAAAGATAGCATAAACAATTTATTCATGACTTTTTTGTATAATTTATATTGAAATCAGAGTCACCATCTCAAAATTGAGTTGAATTTTAGCCAATAATGTGAAAATCACATTCAAAAGTTAGGTACTAAACTCATTAGAAATAATAATTATGACATGAAAAAAATGGAGAGCTTCCTAATCCTATGTGGCAATACATGTTTATAAAGTGAGTTATCAAGAGACTGCATGATGGTCCTTATGTTATGAATATATGAATTTTTTGAGTTTGAGATGACGAACGTGCTATGGCATGTGGTGATGAGTGGATATTTATTTGACTGAATAAGATGTACAATATAGGGTGTATCTTGACAGTTAAGTTAAGCCTGTAAGGGTTGAGAGTTGGGTGAGGGAAAACTGAATACTCCACGTTCTGCCATGGTCACTGGGAGGGACAATAAGTCCTTTCGAGTTGTACTCTTAAAGGTAGGGGTGGCTATTTGGACCGGGACCGGATTAAAAACCGGAAACCGGACCGTATAACCCGGACCGAGACCGGACCGGGACCGGATAGTAAACAATCCAATCCAATCTTTGGGCTTAGATTTGAGGTAAAAAACCGGATAAGAGAGCTCAACACCCAAAACTTAAGGGTAATTTGCATAAACGGTCACAAACCTTTGCACTTAGTACAAAACTTAACCAACTCCTCACCCTTTAAGGCCTTAGGCCACTCAAATCCCACAATCTCAATGTAAAATCAAGACTGAATTGGGACCGGACCGGATCAAAACCGGACCGGATCAAGACCGGACTGTATCCAATCCAATCTTCGGTCCTTATATTTTCAAAAAGACCGGACTGGACCGGATCAATTTGGGCCAATTTAACCAGACCGGACCGTATAGCCACCCCTACTTAAAGGTAACGGATTTAACGAAGAATTAGATCATTATCTTATGAGTCGGGTTATTCGGCGAGTATAAGTGGTTACTAAAAGTTGTAATACTAATATATGTATTAGGGTGTCACAACTGATATAAGTAAGGATTAAAATAGTTATTTACATCTCAACCATTATATATATCTAATAGCTTAACATTCGTTTAGAAATCTTGATTAATTTAGGTGGATCTCAACATGACTCAAAATTGAACATATACACTCATGTAGGAAAAGAAAGGGAATTATGTCAAACAGAATATGAGAAAAGAAAGGAATTATAATTACATTAGGAAAGAAGTAAAGACATTGTGTTTTTATATATGTGTATGGAAGAAAATTTAATTATGTACGAAAATTTTATCTGTGTTAGTTTTGTTGTGTAATGTAGAGTAGTCAATCATTAAATAAAAATAGAATGTTATGTGTTGTACATATTTAAATCTTAGTTATTTGTAGTTGTTTTTGCATGATTAAATTTAAGTTATGGTGATTGCTATATAAGTTTTGTTGTAATTAATAGCATCAAATATGCTTTATCCTATTGGTTGAACACTTGAAATGACGATAGTTTTAGCTCATAGGTCATAGGTTCAAATATTGATCATGATGATTCATTTACATGTTTATTTAGTTTTATTTTAATGTAATTGATAACTTAAAATGTTAAATGATAAAAATGATATGAAAAATTATGGAGCTTTCTTTATCCTACGTGGCAAAAACATTATCCACAACGGTCATAATATAAGTTAAGATTTATCACAAAATTTATATATAATTTTGTATGATTTTGAGAGTTGAGAGGGACTACACCCTCCCTTGTCATCAACGTGCGTGGCTCTGCCACTAACCGCTGGCTTTTTGATTTTATTAAAGAGAATTATTTCCAAAGACACTCCCGCTACTATACACATACACTGAAAAACACCATTCAATGTGACCTAAATTTACTATTCGGTCTATTCTGATTGGTTGGCCACCTGTGTGTGGGGCCGGCGTGTTTTCTCATAGTTTTGTGGTTGGGCCAGCGGTTTTTTTCCGGTGGTTTTGAGTTTGGACCGGATCTTATGGCTGTTGTGTTGTGCGAAGCTGAGCACGTTGCCCGCGGATCCAGCTTGATATCCTCTTCTCTCTCCATTATCTATCTCTCTAGTCTTTCTCTTTCTCTCTTAGGGCTTTTGTTGCCAGTAGGGAAATAAAGCACTTTTGGGATGTTTATGGGATGTATCTGTCGCAGAGAGGCTTTGAGCGGGGTGAGGCAAGGAGCTGTTCACCCACACTGAGTGGAAGGAGAAGAAAATACTAGCTCGTTTTGTCCAATCAAGGCAGGGGAAGGAGAGATGATGGTTTGGCGGTAAGTCGTACGAAAAGAAGCAGAGAAAGGAAAAACCATCTTTTCTGCTTTTCCCTAATCCCTGCCTTTACCCCTTCCTCCTTCGTCTCTCTATTATCCACTATCAACAAAGCAGACCTTGAGTCTCTCTCCAATTCTTTGAAAAAATTATTCCCTCTCCTTCATCTCAGTCCCTGATCTATAGTCGCAATCTTCATCAACTCTCTCTCTCTCTCTCTCTCTCTCTCTCTCTCTGTTTCTTCTAAACTTATGTTCCTCTTTCTTCGCACCAGGATGAACCAGGTGAACGAAAAATGACCTCTTTCTCTCTCTTTTATGCTCTGATTTTCGCTGTCTTTAGCTTTCGATCTAACCTTTTTTTCTCTTTTGTGGTCTTTGTTTGCATATTCTCCCATATGCAATTGATTCCTTGAAGGTGGGATTAACATAATTGATTCATTATTTGAGTGAGCAGTTCACATAATCCCCATCTTATTCATCTCTCTCTCTCTTTCTGCTGAACTGTTGTTCCCTCTTTCTTCGCACTGGAATGAACCAGGTGAACGAAAAATAGCCTCTTTCTCTCTCTTTATGCTTTGGTTTCGATGTCTAGCTTCAACTTTCCATGTAATCTTTTCTTCTCTTTTGTCGTCGTTGTTTGCATGTACTCCCCTTTGTAATCAATTCCTTGGAGGTGGGGTTGAGTGAAGGTCATCAAACTTTCCGGCTAAGGAGACAGATATGAGTGGATTCCATTTTTCTCTAATGCATAGTTTCCTGTGAGACACAATACATTGCATTCTTGCTCAATTAGCCAAGGTGGGATCGAGAATATAGTTCTCTTTTGAAGATATTTGATTGTTTGCTTTTGGTTTTCCCAGTGCCGAGTTTTCCAGTCACTCGATCTCTGATTTATGTTCTTTTTCTCTCCCTTGAAATGTGGCAAGCAGGTGCAGTTTTTTCAGTTGGAGGGGCTAGAAACACCAACCTAGTAATGCAATTCCTCTGGTCGGAGTTTTTACATTTTGCACTTTACTATTGGGGCAAGGATCATTTTTGGTTGGGTGTTTGCCAGAGTGTGAATCTGTTGCTTTTTAGATTTTTTTGGGGTCATGCTATTCCTTTATTTCCTGTATATTGAGTAAAAAATCATCCTTCTTTTGTTCGCGATCTTTTTCATTTGGTACAGGTGTCTATAAGAGTGAGTTGCTTCTATCCTCCGATTTCTTCATGGATGCTGCTTCTAGGTATTCAGAGTTTGAACCTCAATCTCCATTTAATTGTTTAGTTTATGTATTTTTCATTTAGTAAATTCTTTTTTGTTCCTCTGTTTCGACATATTGAGTTCGTGACTTATCCTTGGAACAGTGATAAGCAACAAAAGATCGGCCCTTTGTCAAATTAGAAGCTAGAACAGGGTATGAAAAGCGTGATGAATGGCCTTAATTACAGTTCCCATTTCTACCTCTTTACTTATAGAATGATATCATTTTTAAGCAGGTTCTTGAGGGAGTTGCAGCATGTCCACCACTTGATGACGAACAAGGGAATTTCTTCAACATGAGGGTAAGTCTTCCTTAGTCTTAGTTGTTGTTCACTTGACCTGTTGCACGCACATGAGCGCTTGCTTCCTTAAATGGGATTTATATTGTTTCTTACCTCGGATTCACATATCAGTATTCAATTTCCTCAAATTTTGTTTGGCCACTCCTTAGTCTGCTTTGAAGTACATATACAGATTAGAAAGCTTACCAGAAAACTTCATTCTATGGTTCTCATGATTAGCCTAATGTGTTGATGGAAAGTTCCCCAATAATATTATAGCAAATCTCAATAGTTTATTCATGAATGGTTTGGGTTTTGTTTGGCTATCCTTTCAAATCTTCTGATACTTTTTGATGGGTTCGATCCATTTAAATGTAGTTAACTCGACAAAGAGATGCATATGGAGAAACAAAGAGTTTAGGAAGATCTGCAGAATAACTAACAAGATAAAATAGTGCCCTCGAACTTTGCTAATTGGTAAACGAAACTCGAAGCGATCAGGTGTCGAAAGTGAGAGGCTGAAAAAAGAGGATTCGAAGAATGCCCAGATCCACAGGTTCTTTTCGAGTTTCTCCTGCTATTCGTTGTTCAGGGTGTTCTGTCTTTTATTGACAGATTATTTTTGTTATTATTACTTTTCCGCTTAGATTTCGCATGATGACTCTTGGACGTGGGTGGTTGTCGCTTTTCTTTTGTCAATCCATTGATGGGCAGTGAAGAATGTAGCTTGACGGTGTTGGGGATCATAAAGAGTAGGTCAGGGAAGCCTTGAAACAGAGAGCCTCAGGTGAGCTTTCTTGCATTTTCTCCTTTGTTTCTGTGGAGCGCTCTGCTTTTAACTGTGAATTGTTCCCGCAGATTCGATGCATCCTTCATCTTCAAAAGTCCCTTCAGTAAGTTACTCTCAATCTGTTAGCACCATTTCATTTGAAGGTTCTCCCTCCGTTTCACTTGGATCTAATCAGTTTTTTTGTTGTCGAAGATTCATTCGGTGGAGGAACTTCTGGGTTGGGATGCGCTTTCTCAATCTTCCAGATTTGCTATGAGCAGAGTCAAGGGAGTGGTATGAACAAACGTGAGCTCTCGATTTTACCTTTTTGGTATTTTGGGTTTTATATCTCCATTGAACGACATTATCGAGCTATTGAAGCTTCTTTGTAGGTTTTCTCTCTTGCTCTCTACTCCCAAGTTTTCCTTTGGGTTTTACGATCCTGTCGTTTCGAGTAGGAAACTCGAATTCGGTGAGCGCCTATTAGCCTAATCTATGTGAGTATCATTTTCTACAATAGATTTGATGTACTTTGATTTGTGTCGTGTACTTTGATTTGTGTTCATGTTTCGATTTGTGACGTGTACTTTGATTTATCATTGGATGTTTTTGGAGAGAGCTACATTTTACCCATGTTGTATTTGTCTATCATTGCGTACAAGATTGGGATCTCTTGCCTTCTTTATGACCTTTTCATTTACTTTTTACTCAATTCGCTTTATAAATGAAGATATCAATGAACTTCTATGAAATGGTTTCCCGCTTTTGGCTTTTAGTTCCCCAATACAACTGTTGCGTGCATGCTACTCAAATTCAGCTAATTATTATCTGCCAATCCGATTGTTATTCCTGTTATTTGCGAGCTAAGTATTGATATTTCGATTGGCCTCTAAGAACTGTTTGATTGGAACTTCTTCATTGAAGATTGAGCGGTGTCGTTACAAGCATGTTAATTAGTTAAGAAACTATAGACATGTAAACTTTTTGTATCATTTCATGTTAAGTTATTACTTGGTGAAGCTTCAACTCTCTTATGCTTAATGTTGTTGCAAGGTAGGAGAATTAAATGAGCTGAAGTTCAAGAGTTGATTGTAGAGACTCAATCAAATGTGTTTATGTACAACTAAATCCTTTTATATTTCCCTCGGATGTATAATCATACATGCAAGATCAATGAAATATGATCTGTATTTTCACTATCCATGTACATGAACTTTCAAATGCTCTATGCAAGATCAACAATAATTCAGAAATGGAACAGACTTCGCAGCGAAGTGCGGGTTGAATACTAGTTTTTATTAACGTTGTTGCTGGTAGGGGAGTGCAACCGTCTAGTGGAAATGGTATCATGACAGTCTCGTTCGAATGGTATCATGACGGTCTTGTCACGGTTTTCTTTATTTTTTATTTTTTGATAACCGGAAATGATTTTGCATTATATTTGATCTTGCCCGATTATCTTCAATTGTTGAGCGCATGGGTCCAAAATTCCATATCAGTCTTGTGCGGACCCAAACGTTGCTGGACCGTTAGTGAGGGGTGGCATAGTTAGTAAATTATGTTAGGGAAAAGTTACTTATAAAATACATATGAGTATTTTATTTTGTCTTTAAATTAATGATACGTTTTATTAAACGTTAAAGTAATAAAATATAGTTATATTGAAAATAAATAAATTTATAAATAATTTTCAAATAATATATTTAATTCATTAAGCATATTATACAATTTTTGTACGTGTTTAGTTCGAGAGCCATCAAATGACAGAGAAAATAAAATGACTTGGCAATAATACGAAAATTAAAATTTTAACTGCATCAATACGTACACTATTAATTAATAATTATTAAATGGAGTATTCAAGATGGGAGGAGAAAGTCGCTACAAGTTTCATTATTGTGTTAAAAAAAAAAATTTCATTGTTGGTGGATTGGGCCTGGAGTTGAATAAATCGAGCCTGATGAATGTGGATCACGGGGTTTTGCTTGTATCTTAGATCTTGCTAACATTATTTGCCCCACCGTTATGAATATGGGTGACAATGGGTTGGGTTGGAGGCGGATAGTACATATCTGTTACTCTACAGTCTACCCAAAGTAGTTCGGGTTTTACTCATACCCAATGTGAAACGGGTAAAAAATCAAGACCATGCCCATACCCGTTCGGGTTTCGGGTATCCACGGTTATCCATGGGTAATAATTTCTCTTCATAACTCTAATCAATATGTTAACATTCACGCATATTCTCATATTACGTAAGAGGAAAAATACGACAATAATCCACTAGAATTAAGAAAATTATGAAGTCATGAGAATCTTGTTGAATCCTTGTCGTACTTTCGCACAAAGATCCGTGGTAACCTTTGTAAGTGATGGTTGCATGTCTGCCTGTCTGTTACTTCTCCATGGGAATCAAAAGGGGTCCTATAAGGGAACATATCCAAGCTATTGGTTGCCGTATGCCTTTCATAAGAATTTTGGTTGTGGATCATAAAGTCCTCGAATGAATCTTTGACTGACATGGGTTGTCTTTTCTGAAAATTTTGGTTTTGTCAATTCTATTGGTTTAAAAAGCAAAAGGTTTTACAAGGAAATTTTGTTCCTAACTGCTGCCTCATGTAAGAAGAGTTGCCATGCAAGCTCTGTTAGATTCGCTTTTGCATGTCTAAAAGTTCTGCTTCTGGAAATTATATAAGCCAAACATGCGAGTTCTTAAAAGTGAGTTTGCTTACCCTTCTACAGCCTTGTGTCAGTGGTGTAAATCCTCGAAGAGAAAACTGGTTGTTTGTTCTTAGAATATAGCTCACTGACACGCTGAAACACAACACCTAACAATGGGCAAGTGTAACCAATGAAAGGGACTGCAGTATAGTGGCACAAGTAATAAATATCGAATCCACGGGTCTCTAGAGTTACTATTACTCAGCTTCAGTTCATTATCTAGCAAACTAGATTAAGGATTGATTTATAAACTACTCTACTAACTACTCTACTAATTACAAGTTGGGAACTCACTTAGGTATGATTCCCCCTAGCTCCTCAATTAGGTCCAAGTTGCAATTACTTTTGGTTGGTCTACTGTTGATTAAACTGCGGAAGATCCTAAATTATCTTGGAATCTCTTAAACTGACCAAGCCCTCTTAGACAAAATACCCGGCAGGCGACTAGCCTTCACCGGGATAGACTGTTAAGGCGATTCACACAGATCTCCACTACTGGAATGAATTCCAGTACAAAGCAGTGAATTGGTTGACTCTCGCACAACCAATTCACCACTTTGTACTGGAATTCATTCCAGTAGTGGAGATCTGTGTGAATCGCCTTAGCAGTCTATCCCAGTGAAGGCTAGTCGCCTGCCGGGTATTCTGTCTAAGAGGGCTTGGTGAACTTAAGAGATTCCAAGCTAATTTAGGATCTTCCGCAGTTTAATCAACAGTAGACCAACCAAAAGTAATTGCAACTTGGACCTAATTGAGGAGCTAGGGGGAATCATACCTAAGTGAGTTCCCAACTTGTAATTAGTAGAGTAGTTTATAAATCAATCCTTAATCTAGTTTGCTAGATAATGAACTGAAGCTGAGTAATAGTAACTCTAGAGACCCGTGGATTCGATATTTATTACTTGTGCCACTATACTGCAGTTCCTTTCATTGGTTACACTTGGCCATTGTTAGGTGTTGTTTTTTAGCGTGTCAAGTTTTTGGCGCCGTTGCCGGGGACATTCTAGATTATTAGGAAAGGCAAAAGTTTGTTACTTTAGCGTTTTTCTTTTGTTTTCCGCCCTTGCTTTTCACTTGGGTGTTTTTTGTTTTTGTTGGTGCAGATCTGAATCATGGACCCTCATGGCTTCTCCAACTATTGGGGGTATCCACCACCATCCGAGTGGTATTACCCCGAGACTCCCTGGAGTAACCAAGGAGGAGAAGACTATGGAGTCGGGTTTCAGTACCAACTCCCTACTACGAAGAACAATCAGACCCCTGGGTATTTCAAGAACAATCTCCTTATCAAGAAGAATTCCTCCCACAACAAGAAGGACCATCAGATCTTGGGTTTGCCACAGCCTTCACGGGCGATCCGGCAGAGCCATGCTACACTCCACAGCCGGATCCAAACTATCACTTGAGGCTTCTCGTGGAGCGGATTGCTCGAGTACCTGAGAGATCCTTTCCCGAGATGGATCCTCATATCCAGGCCATTGCCCAAACTGACTTCTCATTTCCCCGTGAAACAGAGGATACCCTTCGGAGCATAAAGGAGCACATAAGTCATTGAGAAAGCCTGTTCACAGTTTTCTCAAGACAACCTTTATGCTGCCATACAAGTAGAGGTGGAGGAAGAAGAAGGCAATCATGAGGATGTTGAGGAGCATACAGAAGTTGTCAAGGAAAGCTCCCATGATAATCATGATCAAGTGTATCCTCTGGTGGTAGATCACAACTTTCCCCATTTCCGCTCTGACATGCTGGGCCCGAGCGAGGAGATGCAAGTTGAACTTATTGAGAACCTTGCATGGCGACTTGCTCTCCAATCAGTTATGGAAGAAGAAGAGAGAGAAAGGGTGAGGAAAGAAGTTGTGAAGGATGAGGAAGAAAGCAAAGAAGAGGTAGTTCTTGATCTTTTCCAAGGAGAGAGACCACATTTTGAAGAAGGAAGGGGGTTGAAGAAGCGAGTGGTGTCCAGGCTGAGGATGAAGTTGAGGTGGAAGAGGCTTGCATCAGCCCTATAATACAAGTAATATCCCCACCAAACTTCGAGGAACTGCTTAGCAAGGACCCATTTGCAGTGTCTCTTTGCCAGACCAAGGCCACATCGACATCAGTCCCTCTTGGTGGACGCGATGGTGGCCAATCGATGCTGTCATATCTGGTTGGGGCAATGGGACGAGAGAAGAGAAGAAGAGGTCTCGAGGATGGAGACTTCATCTGCATCAAGTGCACGAGCTTCCATCACCAGTCATACCACATGCTCGTGACTTGCGACTCCACCTCATTGACGAGAACCTCAACTTCAAGGAGGTTCTAGCATGGACCGAAACTTAGGAGCCATCGTCCGGCTAATGACGTGAAAGAAGCGCTTGTTGGGAGGCAACCCAACCAGTCGGTTTGCATTTCTTTCTCTATTTCTCCTCGGTTGAGTCAGTTTTGTTATTTGATTTTAGAGTCAATAACTCAACCTTTGTGAGATTTTGTGTGGTGTTTGTGTTCTGATTACTCTCTCTTTCTAGAATGCACCGCCTGACCCGTCCATCATCATTCACCCTTGATCTGGTAACTTCATTCTACCCTCCTTATCTTTCCTCCATTGAGGACAATGTCGTGCTTAAGTGTGGGGAGGTGTTTGATTATGTATGCGGGTGAATGTTTGGCTGTTTGTGTGCTTGGAGCCTAGTCCATTGTCCAAATTTGAGATTTGAGGGCTCCAAGTACTGCTATTTGCTTGATCATATTGGCACTGTGGTTTTAATTGGTGAATTGAATGGCTTTCGACTTAATGCATGAAAACTGAGGTGTGACTAGGACAACCTATAATGATGACTGAGACGTGCAATAGAGTTGTGTAGGGGTTTGGTTTTTCAACTGTATGCTTACCAACTGTGACTTGGATTGATCACTTGTTCTTGACAGTCGGTTATGCATCTAGTTCAGGGAATCAGAATGAGAGATAGAGCATATAGGTAGCCATGTGAGATTTGAGCCTGCTCGTTTCTTTCTTGTGCGATAGTTCCCTCTTCCATAATGTGTAGCATTCACGTTGTCATTAGCTAAGATGATGGAGGCAAAGGATTAGCCCACGACCAAATTGACTGTCCTGATGTATCATATCCTCTAGTCAGCCCCTTTAAGCCGTGTGTTATCCTTTCTTTCTATCTACAATGAAAAATCACCCTTTTGCATCTTTTAGAAGGTTCCACAGAGTGGTTTTTTACATGTTCTCTGCTGATCTGCTAAATATAATGTGAGGGTTGGAGGTAGTGCTTAAAAGTTGGGCATATGTTTGAAATATGTGCAGAGTTGGTGGTTCTCTTAAGGAATGAAAAAAAGAATGAAAGAAAAAAATGAAAGCAAAAGAGAACCACTACCAAAAATCTGAATAGTGCCAATTAAGTAGTGTTTCTTAGCAGTCTGGCTTGGAAATGCTGACATTTATATAACCTCCTTCGCTCGTGTGCTCGTAAGAATTTGAGTAATGCAGAATGGCAGAAAGAAAGTAAGTGGTTTGATTGACTGTGATTGTGTTGGGTTTGGAATTGTGGAACCTTGTGCTACGAATACTTCCACCACCAAAAAGGCCTTTTCCCCATGTCCAAGACCCTAGCCAGTCATCTGAACCTGTGTCTAAGACCTCCGGATTAGTTAGTGGTGACACCTCATATGTGAACTCTAGCATTTAGAGGTTGCCGTCATGGTGAAGAGATGTTAGGGATTGAGAGAATAAGCATGCGCATTTTCTCATATTGTCCTGACCCCACTGGTCGAGAGTGAGCGATTCATTTTCTCATATTCTCTATACTCTTGTACCCCGGTGAGGACCTAGATTGCTCGGTCTCTATTCTGATATCTTGAGTTTTGTGCATGAGGTGACCCGTGACTGTCTTGAGTAAGTGGTTGAGTCAAGTCTATGTTGATTGATGAACAGAAGGGAGACTCCTCCTTTAATCGATTTTGATGCACTTGAATGTCCTCTGTGGTGGTTGTCCAGGTTGCGGTTGAAGTTGTTCATGTGTTGATGTTTGAAAATCGGTGTGACTCCCATGTTTTGTGCCTATATGATTTGTCCCCAATGTTGGTATGATTGAAATTGTGAGCTTACCTTGTGTCTGACTTGGTTTGCTTGGGGACAAGCAAATGGTTAAGTGTGGGGGAGTCCCCGGCAACGGCGCCAAAACCTTGACACGCTAAAACACAACACCTAACAATGGCCAAGTGTAACCAATGAAAGGGACTACAATATAGTGGCACAAGTAATAAATATCGAATCCACGGGTCTCTAGAGTTACTATTACTTAGCTTCAGTTCATTATGTAGCAAACTAGATTAAGGATTGATTTATAAACTACTCTACTAATTACAAGTTGGGAACTCACTTAGGTATGATTCCCCCTAGCTCCTCAATTAGGTCCAAGTTGCAATTACTTTTGGTTGGTCTATTGTTGATTAAACTGCGGAAGATCCTAAATTAGCTTGGAATCTCTTAAGCTGACCAAGCCCTCTTAGACAGAATACCCGGCAGGCGACTAGCCTTCACCGGGATAGACTGCTAAGGCGATTCACACAGATCTCCACTACTAGAATGAATTCCAGTACAAAGCAGTGAATTGGTTGACTCTCGCACAACCAATTCACCACTATCAATCAAGGAAGCTCTCTTAACCTAATCAGATTCTATCTATCATAGGTTAAAGCAGAAATCAAGAGAATTTGATCAAGATTCAATTGACTCTATAAATCATGCCTCAATCGATTATAATCAAACAACATAGCATCCAAAACTTCATACAAGAAAGATCCTAACACATGGAACTAGGGTTCCTCAAAACCTAAGTGAAGGGAAGTTACTCCATAGAGAAGAGAGAGACTGCAGAAATCTGATCTAGATCTTCAATCTCCATCTCCAAGCTTGATTCCCGAGCTCCAATGGCGAAGAAATCCTCCAAAATAGCTCCAAGAATGTTCCCAAGTCGCTCTCTCTCTCTCTAGGGTTCGTCCCTTGGGTGTTTGGGAACCAAAACCCAGCTCTCCCTCTCCTTTAGCTTGCAATTGGGTTAAAACCCAGAATTTCCCGACTCACACGGCCAGGCCACACGGCCATGTGGCTTACCCAGCTGCCCGTGTGAGTGCCAAAACGCGGAGTTTCGATTAATGGGCAACCAGGCAAGCTACACGGGCAGGGGCCACACGGCCGTGTGGCTCCCCAGGATGCCCGTGTGAGTGCTCGGTAAATCCCACATGGCCAGGTCACACGGCCGTGTGGGTTTTTAGGTGTGCCCGTGTGGCTTGCTCAGCCTTTGTTTAATGCTTCGTTTCTCCCTCGTCTGGACTCCGAATCAGTCGTCGTTTGATCCCAGACGCTCGTAGTCTCGTCCTCTTTCTTTTCATGACAAAATTCCATTATTATTTGTCCATAATATAAGGTAGAAGTCCATTATTCCTCAGGTCATGCTCGTGTTTCTTCTCCCGAATTGCCAAATGATCTCCGATTGACTTGAAACTTGTGCCTATGCTTCAATTCACATGCTAGGACCTGAAATGTGACAAAGGAACACAACCTAGCGTAAAATAGTCCAAGAAAGCAGAAACTCAAGCCAAAATGATCAAGAAACGAGGGTGCAAACATGTGCAAATCCGATGTTATCACTCATGTTGGTAACATCCAAGTGAAAATAAAGAAGTCCAAGTAGGTTTTGTGGCTAGTTATTCCGTCCTGTTGTATTAACTAGAGTAGAACAAATATTTGGCTTGGTTAGTTGGTTGACTTCTATCTAGTAGCACTGCTTTTGGTTGCCAAACTTTGCTCCTCATAGCTTTCCAATTGAGGTAAATTCCATTAAGAAAGCACTTGAAATATAATTTCTAGAAGAGAAGCATGTCCAGTGGTTGCACTCTTCTACTCTACTAACCATTTGAGTTGAAATTATCTTCCTGAGCATAGTGTGGCTCTGTTTCTCACTTTCTGTTTGCTGCTATCCATTAAGCCAAGTTGCAAGTCCCAGTTTCCCTCTAATTGATAAAGGGAGTTGCTGTTGCAGCCCACATAGTTGGAATTACTTTGAAGAGTGCTTATGACTCATTTGTAAGTTGTGCTTTTGCATGTTAGTGCTTAATTAAGCTAGTATAATCCTGCTAGATTTGACATGGGTAATAGACGGGAGTTACAGCATATTGCAAACATATACTACAAATATTGTGAGCTTGTATAAATGTTGGTCCCTATGCTGGACATTCCATTTGTTAATGTCCTAGACTAGAAGGATAATATGCCTAGTCATGGTTGACCTTCTGCCTCAAGTAATGATTGGTTGTGGCTATTTTCTGCAAGTGAAAATTACAAATGGTTGCTTATTATGCTTGCGTAAGGATTGGTATGTGATTCCCGAAGTGGAAACTATGAGGTCATAAAAGTTGTTTATGCTTAGTCATGGTTGCCTTTTGCCTCGAGTAAAGATTGATTGTGGCAATTCTCGAAGTGAAAATTAAGAGGTACTAGAGGGGAATCTTGCTTAGTCATGATTGATTCTTGCCTTAAGTAAAGAATGATGGAGGTAATTCTAGAGTAAAACTTATGGAAGTCCCAAGATCTTGATAACTCCTTGTTGACCTTTTGCACAAAAGATCTTCTGTCCCTTTTGCAGTGTCTTAAAAGGTAACATTGGTTGATCCTGGTTGTCCATCTACCTTGTGCAAAGAATCCAGTTTGACCTATTCTCCGTGTTAATTGGAAGGTGCTATGACAGCCAAGCTATTGGTTATCTTTTCTGCCCTAAATAAGGTTTTTGGTTGTGGATATTTTCTGAAGGAAAATTAAAAGGTCGCTGAACTAATCGTGATATCTATGACTGCTTATCTGCTCTTCTAGTTTGGGAAATTCCTTGAGTTTAAAAGCACAAGGTTCTAGAAAGGGACGTTGGCCCCAGATGATGACTCTCTTAAGCAGTAGCTAAGCCAATTCACTCAGTTGCCCTTTTGATTATTTAAAAGTTGTGGTTCTGGCAATAGATTCTGTAAAGCTGAACTTATGAGTTTCGGGAAGTGTGTTTTCCTTGGTCCATATTTCCCTTCTGCTATCGCAACTCAAGATTCTGTTGGTGGAAACTTTCAAAGTGAAAGTTGGTTGTTCTTGGAATATATATCATGTCGATAACTGCCAAACGAAAATGAAAAAGTCATAGGCAAAGCTAGGGTTAGTTCTTGTTGTACAGTTGTACTGCTGTATTTTCGATTGTTTTTCCTGGTTAATTAGTTGATTGCTATCTTGGTAGCACTTGCATTTATACTCATATTTAGAATCTTTCTGTGGTGTGCTCTTTTTACTATTCTTTCGTACTTCTTCTCTTTAGAGTCCCTACTCTGAACATTTCGCTATTAAGGTTATAGATGTAGTTATCCTTACACATGCTTGTCTTCCTGCATTTAGTAAAGATTTGTTGTGAGTTTGTGACTATACCGTGGTGAAAATGAAGTGCCTATAAGAGAATTATATTTAGTCATGGTTGTCTTTTCTGCCATGGAGGAGTTTACTTTTTTTTTATGACCTGCATTATACTATTGGTTCTGATGATAATGGTTGGATTCTAGACCGTATAAAGTTGCTTGTTGGATAGAGATTTTATATTGATGTCTTGTAGGATTCTGCTCACTTGTCTTTTGCATTGGAGTATACATGAAAACTTTCTTTCATGTTAAACAGCGTATAAAATAATCATAGCTTCATTTTTGTCAGTTTAGTTGGTGATCATCATAAGATTGTGGTTATCTTGATTCAATTGGATATTTGAAAGTGAACTTATTATGGTATGAATTTGTTGCCAAGTCTGAAACTATACTACATAGGGGCTTACTTTGTTACTTGCATGGGTATATTGGTTGTGGAAATCGGGGGCATTGATCGAGTTGGTATAGTTTCAATTTGATATGATTAATACACTGCTTCCGAGTCCTCTTGGAATTGCATAGATCTTATCTGAGAGATCGGGTGTAAGTATGCTATGTTTACTGTAATCACATGCAGGGGAAAGTTGCAGATGTTGAGCCTCTAAACTCTTATAATGGTACTCATGAAAGCAAAAGGGTTTGTTTGAATCTTATATGGTCACACTAGCATGTTCTATTTTTGCCTCTATATCATTGGATCCTTGCTTCCATTAGTTGACCTTTCCATGGATATGTCGGTTTGATGAAGTTCATAGTGTTGTGGGATATATTTAACTGACTAATTTGTGTTAGTTCTTACGGGGAATTTATTACTGAAACAAAAGGAGAGTGTGTGTCATCAGCTGGTTACTTCTGAGCTTTGCAATGTGAGAGGTAGAAACAATTCAGATGAAAAATCATCATATGTCTAAACAATCTTAGAGAGTTCGAAGCAGGATTGTATCCAAATTTCGGTGGCAATTTGGTGCCAAGTCCATATGTCTAAAGCTTATTATGGTTGGTGATGTGATATAGGGGAAAAGAGGAAAGCTAAGGCAAAAGGTTCTGTATTTCGTAATTCATTGCGTTCACATAAGCTTTTGGTTCCTCTACTCTACTTCCATATGTTGGTTCGTATTCCCCTTGCCAAAATAGAATATCACAGTGTGTCTGTAAGTTGATCTTCTCTTGGATGAAGTTGTACAGGTTGGGATTATATTTGACCATTTACAGAAGTATGTTTGTCTATTCGGTTGGTTGTTACATGGTAGGTTCTCTTATTCACAATGAGTTGAAAAATGAACACTGATAGTTTATTGTATATAGACTGTAGACCTTGGAAGGAGAAAGTTCGTAGATGGCATGCAGAGTCTGTGACAATATATATGGTCATCATCATATGTGAAAAGTGAAGAGGCATGTTCTTTGTAGTTTGTTTTATGGTTAATATGGATCTGAAGAGAGGTTCCTACTTTACTATTTAGAAAATGAATGATTAAGTCACTCTCGAGCTTGTGGAAATTTTTGTTGCACGAATGGTGGGGCTGGTAAAGTTAGTGGTCCAAATTCCAAAACTCTTGTGTTGTTGGTTTGCCTGGTTGCCCTTAGGGATATAACCGTGGATATTCGCTCGAATCCAATCTAATCGGGTAGGGCAAAGTCGAATGACTTTTAGTGGGTACGGGTGCGGGTAATGGGTGGGCATGGGTTTCTCATTATCCAACCCGAACCCGTCCGATTATACACATTCATATATATTTTGTCTAGAAATAATCATTATTTTTCTCTAATATATTTAATATTTAGCATATAAAAATAGTATTTTCATGAAATTGTATTGTTTTAATTAATTTTCTTCATTCTAGTGAATTATTGTTGTATTTTTCCTCTTACGTAATGTGAGAATACGCGGGAATGTTAACATATTGGTTAGAGTTATGAAGAAAAATTATTACCTATAGATAACCGTGGATACCCAAAACCCGAACGGGTATGGACATGGTTTTGATTTCCTACCCGTTTCTTATGTGGGTATGAGTATAGCTAAAACCCGAACTACTTTAAATAAGGTAACGGATATGCACTATCCGCACTCGACCCGACCAATTGCCATCCCTAATTGCCCTTTCTGTTATTTATGAACATCTTGGTTTGTTGCATTTGAGACAAGTAATGGCAGTGGGAGTCCTACTTTTATGGTGTGGCTTGTGAATACCAGAACTTCTCATTCATTTGCTTTCTAGGCCCAACGAGCCTGCCAGCGGTTTTAGCCCAAAGTGACAACAGTAAAAAACGCGCCTCAATTTTGTACCGCCAAAATCTAATCCCCTCCTCTGACCTCTGCCCATTCTCCATTCCAATGGCGGCCTCCAGTCCCATGCACGGCCTTCCCTCACTCTCACTGCCGTCCCGCCTCGAAACCCCCGATCCCGTGCTTTCATCTCCTCCGTCTTCTTTCCCGAATGCAAAAAGCCTTTTCATAGCAAGGCGAAGAGCCATCTTCCTCGGGTCCAGTGCATTGGTGGCGGATTTTTGGTTCGGCTCCCTCGGTTCCGCTTCAGTCTCCGCCGCCATTGCTGGACAACTCCAAGCGGAAGAGCTCGAACAGGAAGAAGATCGAACTGTCCGCCTATTCGAGGTTATTAATAACACCCCTATCTTTCTCAGCCGGTAACATTTTGCTTTCAATTTGGTGATTGCCGATTGGTTGGTTCTGTGTGTGATGAAGTTCTGCCCATTTCCAAAATTCTGCATAGATGACTTCGCCATCAGTTGTTTCGATCAAGGATTTCGAATTAGCCAAAACCCCCAGCAGCTCCACGAGCGTGGAGGAGGACGATGATGATGCGAAACTTGAAGGGACTGGGTCCGGTTTCGTTTGGGATACATTTGGTCACATTGTACGAATCCCTCCTCAGTCCTCCATTCTTGATTGTTCCTTCGAATGTTGAATGTGGCAGTTAGAACAATCAGTAAGTTTGGAGATGAATTTGGCTTGCAGGTCACTAATTACCATGTTGTGGCTAAATTGGCTACGGATACAAGCGGATTGCAGCGCTGTAAGGTCGTCGTCTCCAGTTTTTTTGGCTATTACTACTGTTTGTAAACCTTTTGGTGTGGGTTATCCATCTCTTGGAAGAAAGCTCCTGAGACAATTGGTTGCTTTGCTTGAAGATATTTCTGGTGGATGGTCTTGGCAACAGCTTGACCAGAGAAGGGAAGATTGTTGGGTTCGATCCAGCATACGATCTTGCTGTTCTTAAGGTAGAAACATACCAAACTACCACTTATCAAAGGCAACAGTTTCTGTGGCTCTTGAAATGTAGAAACAAAGCTAGAATGTGGGCTGGCTTGTCTGTTGCAGGTTGATGTAGAGGGGTACGAACTGAAGCCAGCAGTTTTTGGTACCTCCAAGGACTTGCTAGTGGGACAGAGCTGTTTTGCTATTGGCAATCCTTATGGATATGAGAACACTCTTACAACAGGGGTTAGTACTAGTAGTGCCGTCAGTAGTTCAGTTATCACCTAATTTGCATCTGAATCTGTGGCTAAGAGGAGTTGGATTGATTCATCGTATTTGACCATTAGTAGATTTGCTTTTCACTTGATTTAGGTGGTCAGCGGGCTAGGAAGGGAAATCCCATCACCCAGTGGGAGAGCCATCAAAGGGGCTATTCAGACAGATGCAGCCATTAATGCAGGTAATTTGATGGATGCTAGTGTCCTGAAATTGGCTGGAACTGAACTTTATATATAGTGTTGCTGAAGATATATGAGGGCACTCCTTATATGGATCATAATGGATTCTTCGATCACCTGTGCACAGGGAATTCAGGTGGACCATTGGTTGATTCACATGGACATGTCATTGGAGTCAATACAGCAACTTTCACTCGAAAAGGTGAGGATGAAGAGGCCTGGCCGTTGAAAGAGCACATCACTGGAATCCATAATATCATTATATGTGTCGTATTATCATGTCCGACGAGCTGTGTGAAAAATACGATTTGATGTGAGTTCCTTCTGCAGGATCTGGACAGTCATCAGGGGTCAATTTTGCGATACCAATAGACACAGTGGTCAGGAGCGTGCCATACCTTATCGTCTACGGAATGCCTTACACCGATAGGTTCTGACCATTTGGTTGCATCTTTTGAGAAGTGTTGCCTTCTACAAAGTTTGAGCACTGTGTATCTGATAGTAATATTCTCTTGTTTATAATGATCAACAATGCTGTTCCACCATTTGCAAATGCATAAATTATGTTCTCCCGCTGTGCCATGGTGGCATTGTAAGATCAGACTCCGGCAGGTGGCAGCAGTGCTTGCTCATGATTGCTCGTTAGATAAAACGCTACGGGTACGAACTTCAGCACCAATGCCATGACGAAAGTGGGTTTGGATATCCCTTTCAACTCGTGCGAGTCTGGTACATTACAGAGCATTCATATGGAGCTTTGGAGATGTTCTATTGTGTCATACATCTCTGTGCCTAAGATGGTATTTGCAGCTCTCAAGCCTCCAGTGTGGGTTCCCATGGGTTTCTCAATATTAGGGATTAACATGCTTGGGGAAGGGATGAAAGTAACGTCCAAGAATATCTTCATTTCTCCGATCAATTCTCTATTTCCTTATTGGCATCGGTACAAATGCAGCCAGACTCGAGAGCTATCATAGAATGATCATAACGAAGCAGAAAAGACACCATACTCCCAAGTCGTTACTGTACTTACTTCCTTGTGTTGGAACTTGGATGCCCAATTTACATTAGCCTAGAAGTTGACCGTCAGTCAGCATCATGATCACTGTTAAGTTGATCATTTGCATCATTTCAGGATTCTGGAGAAGGAAGACAATTTCGTAACAGACATGACTTGTTTTCGTTCAATGAGATTGGTTCACAAATGACTGATTGATAGCCCCAGAAAGTAACTATTCAAATCCATCTTGTTCATCCTTAAATCATACATTTGACATCCATCCAAAGCACACCACAGTTCTCTATTCATCTGTCCCACAATAACAAAGAATCGGCTTATCCCACACTATCTGGATGTACACTAGATCTTAATAGGATCTATTTCCTCATTACTGATGGACGAAAAACATTCTTATGGTAAAAAAGTTTTAAGGAAAAAGTAAGGTAATACCATTCTAGATTGTAAAACCGAAGAATGCTCTCTACTCCTGGATTGTCATCAGAGACATTTGTTCCTCGATTGGGCACTCTACATGACAAGATGTTCGACAGGAGAAAGGGATGAGAATCAAACCGAGGCATCGTTGTTCCATCTGGGAAGGAGAGTTGCGCCGGGTGCTGCGGTATTCAACTGCATCTTGAAGGATGATGTTGCCTTGCTTATCCATGCAGTGGAAAGTCCCCATGAAAAAGCGCCCGTCCTTAATTCCCACCAGCACTTGCCTAAACAAAAGTTTCTTTACCCGGGCAACAGTACTCGAGCTGCTCGGCTCACTAGGCCTTTCTGAGTGGCTCCCATCTTGACCACCGGAGGAGGTAACCAGCGTTTCTTGTTCCATCTCCATGAAATTGGATTGATCACTGCTGATTGAGAAGAAAACATTTTAACATGCAGCCTTGGCATTAAAAGGAAAAATTTACCATAAATGGAGGACAAAGCAGTTGATGGTGGCTTGAAAACGGCTTTGGCTAAGCCATTCTTATAAAGAAAACTGAAGCAAATAACAAATAACAAGGATTGTTGAGAGTAATGGAATCTTTATTACGCATTCTCGCTACTTTTCTGATATGGCTATTGTACTCGACTGTTTGTCAGCCGCCGTTGAACACCCAAGAAAGGAAGTTCGATCCCAGTTACCTTCGGATGAAGTTCAAGCGGTTGGGACAGACGGTGGCTGGCGACAGACGAACGGCGGAGGCCCTGTACACAGACAATGGAAGCGCGAAGCTGATGAAAGGATGGACCACCACGCAGTTCGACCAAGGCTTCTCCGCCTGATGCCGAACGGCGGACGAGATACTGACGAGCCAGCGGCTAGGTAAGAACTGACGACGAACCACGAGGGCGCGGGCGAATGACGAGTGAGTGCGTGATCTTGGGAGTTTTTCCAAATTAGGGATTTGCTCTCGTCAGACGATTTTCAATCACAGGCCAAAAGACGGTGCAAGCAGAAAAGTTTTTTCTAATAAAACTAAAAAGATCAATTATATAATAGGTCACTTAAGTTTGTCATACTATCAAAAAGGTAACTCAACTTTAGTATTTATCAAAATGCTATTTTAACTTCTCACTTTTAACAAAATAATTATTCGATCCATCACTTTCCATTTAACGGTTGATCAACATGTGAACTCATCCATATTAGTATTAGAACTGTCCCATGAAAATGAACACTGACCCAGCCAACCCCATCACATCTCCATCTAAACCTTCAACATGACACAAATGGCTTAACCAACCTCATACACCAAAATATTAAGTACCATAAATACATTCCATGTTGTTCGCGCTCTATCCACAACCTAGTTTATCATCATCGACAAGAGAGAGAAAGAAGTTCATGTTGTAGATCCCTCTCCAACCCTTGTGGCAATGCAAATAGGTACTCTTGAGTCTTTTTTCCCCCCGATAATTAGCAATTTCTCATTAAGCACACTCGACAAAGCTAGAATCGAAAAGTAAAGGAGGGCACAAGCACCACCAGAAAAAGAACTACAGTTCTACCTCTTTACAAAGACTTGAAGACACTATATTTGCACTAAAGCAAGCAAGCTGGCAAAATCAACTCTTCCTACTCCAAAGTACCTACTATCCGCAATGAATGTAGTAATTAAAAGATCAGCAGTCATCTTTTTGCCCCCAAAAACTATTACATCGCTCTCTCCAGATGGCAGCAAATAGCCAACACCAATAAAATCCAACAACTTGGCTTTGAATCCCTGAGGAACCGAAAATGTTAACAACAGCAGATAACCAATCTTCCTAGCAAGAGCTATTTGGCATATTCATGCCTCTCATCACCTCCCCAGCTACCTGCTTAGAATAAACACAATCAAAAAATATATGTGCCTTTGAGTCATTTCCATCAGAACATAGTACACAGGCTGGATCAATGGTTCGTCCCCAGGCAATCAACTTGTCTCGTGTAATAATTCTATCCTTCATAATGAGCCAAGCAAGAAACCTGTTACTAGGGATGTAATTTTTTTTTTTATAAGGGTGAACAAATTCAATTAGAAAGAAACAAGAAGATACAAAAGAAGGTACACATCAGATCGCCAGAAGTGATCCAACGTGGGTCAAGAAGAGGAAAGAAAATCCAGGAACAAACAAAAACCCAAAAAAAGATAGACACAACAGAACAGCAAAACAAGAAACAAAGGTAGCAATATCCCTTTCAGAGCACGCCCAATCAATCGCCAGCATCCGACTCTCGAAACATGAGGCAGGCTTGGTTGATCATTTGTAGCCAAATACTGCCATTCTGAGAACTAACAACACCATGTGCGGAGCTCCAATTCAGAAGAGTGTTCCCGATCCTATGAACGATTGCTCTCCACGTCTTCACTTCATCCCTAAACGTTCTAGCATTCCTTTCTTTCCAAATTTCCCAACAAAATGCATGAAGTAATCTGACGTGGAACCACTCTTTCCATGAACAATGATTCTTGGTTGGCCATCCTTTAATCAGGGAGTCAATGGTACAGGGAAGAGGTCCCATGAAACCCATGACCGATCGAAAACATTCTCGGATTCGCTTACTCCACTTACATCTGCAGAAAATATGATCCACGGTTTCCTCATCGCTGCCACATAACACGCATTTGTTGGCGAGATTCCACCCCCTTTTCTTCAAGTTATCATGAGTTAGAATCCTTTTGTGCATAACCACCCAAAGAAAAGTAGACACCTTCGAGGGACCTTGCTTGCTCCAAATAACATCGGAAGGAAAGTCTCTGTCGCCCGGGAACTTGCTTGAGATGATGCAATTGTACAAAGACTTAACCGAGAAATTAGCATCAGAAGAAGGTCGCCACATGATTTTGCAAGGTCCTGCAGAAATCAAATCAGTAGAAACAAAAGATAAAGTCTGCAGTAAACTCACTCTCTCCCTTTCCGCCCCACCCCGCAATGAAAAATGTAAAGGAACATCCCAAGAGATTCCCTCAGAAGAAAAGGATATACACTCAGAAACCCAAGCCTCCGGGGAAGAGGCAGCAGCACCGACCCTTGGATAGGCATCTTCAAGAATCACCTCAGGTAGCCAGCAATCCTTCCAAAATGAAACCCAAGCGTCACCACCAACATTAATAAACGCGTGTTTCCAGAACCCAGGCTCTTCTTTCGAAATGTTCTTCCACAAGGAACAACCCAAATTGCTCCTTCCTTTACCAGATCTCCATATGGTCATGTGGTTAGGGTACTTAATATCGATGAGTCCTCACCACCAAGATGTTGGTTCGGTAGCATATTTCCATAACCATTTGCTGAGGAGGGCAGAATTAAGACCCTTGATATCAAGAATCCCCAATCCACCAGCCTCTTTAGCAGTCTTACATTTATCCCAATTGAGTAGATGGAACTTTCTTTCATTATTGTAGCCAGACCATATGAAATTTCTCATACTATTCTCCATTCTTCGAACAGCAGCAGCAGGGGCCTTGAGTATAGAACATGCATAAATAGGTTGGCTCGAGAGAGTGCTGCGAACGAGAGTGATTCTTCCCCCAAGGGAGAGGAATCTTCCCTGCCAACCATCCAATCTAGCTTGCAATTTAACAATGATTTTATCCCAAATAGCTCCAGAGTTTGGGCTGGCACCCAAAGGAAGGCCTAAGTAAATTGACGGTAGAAAGCTCCACGAACATCCGAAGAGATTTCCAAACCGGCCAGGATGCTCCACGTTTCCAATAGGTAACATCTTGCATTTGTCAACATTGATTTTCAATCCCGTCACAGCCTGAAAACAAACCAGGGAACTCAACAAGTTCAGCACTTGATCTTCATTAGCATCACAAAAAACAATGGTGTCGTCAGCGTACAACAGATGCATAACTTCTCCTCTGAGACCAGCTTCATCCATTCTGAAACCCGAAATACGTCCGTCATTTTTCAAAGAGTCAAGAATGAAGGACAACATGTCCATCACGAGCATGAAAAGGAAAGGCGGGATAGGGTCCCCTTGCCTTAAACCCTTCTCCATCTTGAAGAAACTTGCAGATTCACCGTTAACAAGTACAAAAAGGAGAGGCGAGGTGACCAGCCCATCAATCCAGGACTGAACTTTTGCCGGGAATCCCCAACACTGCAGGATACGCTCAAGACATTTCCAGTTGACATTGTCAAACGCCTTCTCAATGTCAAGCTTGAAAACCAGACCCGGCTTCCCACTTTTCCTTCTGGTGTCGATTAGCTCATTGGCAATTAAAGTTGCTTCATGGATATGCTTTCCTTTCACCCCATCAAATTGGTTTCCAGACACAAGCCTAGGCATGAAAAGTCTGATTCTATCAGTAATAACCTTAGAAATCAACTTATTAACGCTTCCAATTAGGCTGATCGGCCTGAGATCTTTAATATCTTCAACTACTTCCTTCTTTGGAATGAGGCAAATGAAGGAGTGGGAAATACAGTTTGGGAGACGAACATTATCGTGAAAAATCTTCGAAGGCCTTTAATAGATCACACTTAATACCATTCCAGCACCTCTTGTAAAACGCCAAGGAAAAACCATCCGGACCGGGGGATTTATCCCCTCTACAGCTTTTAACTGCCTTCCAAATTTCATCTTCGGGAAACGGTCTAATAATCCACTCTTTGTCTTCTTCGGAGAAACAAGATTGCCCATAATTAGCCGGAAAGGGACGCTGCTGCTAAACCTCTTTAAAAACAGAGGAGAAATAATTAACGAAAGCACTCCTTAGATCTTCTTTGCCTTTGACACACGCCCCATTAACATTGATTTTTGAAATGAGTTTCCTTCTTATGTTGAAATTTGCCATTTTATGAAAGAAGCGGTTGTTTTTGTCTCCTACTCTCAGCCAAATCTCTCTTGACTTCTGATAACGATGTAATTGCACATATTTGCGCCCCTAGTTCTTATCTGTTTGAGGGGCATAGTCGTGTGTTTTGGCCTATTTTACCCCGGGTTGTGCTATTTTGTCATGTTTCAGGTCCCAGGCGTTAAAAGGAAGGCTAACCGCGAGTTTCGGGGCATTCGGAAGTCATTTCGGTGAGTTGGAGCCAAAACACGGGCAGCCCAAGGAATTACACGGCCGTGTACTGCTGACCGTGCTTTTTATGCCGAGAGCAAATTCAGTTTGGCCGATTCAGCTGCAAACACGGGCACCAAAGCACGGCCGTGTTCAGGCAAAGCACGGCCGTGTACATCGCGAAGCACGGCCGTGTTTCCTCCCACTGCTGGCCGTGTAATTAAACACTGGCCGAAACACGGGCAGGCTCAGGCAAAGCACGGCCGTGCCCTCGACCGTGCTTTGGCCACTGATGCTTTTAAGCAGATTTTCAGCCACAATTCAAGGGGATTCGAGTTTTTGAGAGAGAGATCAGTTCCTAGAGAGAGAAAGTGACGAGCAAGAGTTCCCAAGTGCCCTAGATTGATCTTCAACACCATTGGAGGCCAGCTTGAGCATGGAGAAGTGCCAATCAACGTCCAGAAGCAGGAATCCATCCTTCGCAGTATGAATTCCGTGTCTGATTCTGCTTTTGCTTTCTTCTCCATGGAGTAGTTCTCCCATTCATCTGGGTATGGAGAACCCTAGATTTGTATGTTAGGCTTTGATTGTATGAACCCAAGTACTGATTCTATGATTGATTATATTCGATTGAGGTTTTAATGATTGAATGACTTGAATCCTGATCAAATTCCTGTTGTTTCTGCTTTGACCTAGAATGAGAATATCTGCCTAGGTTAATAGAGTATCCTTGATTGAAGGTAGAGAGTTGGTGACTTTAGTCGAGGAACCAACTCACTATTCTGTACCGGATTTACTCCGGTAGTGGAGGTTTTGTTCTTAGGCCCTCAACCTGTCGACTCCGGTGGAGGTTAGTCGCCCGCTAGAGAGTCAGATTGAGAGGGTCTGAAGACCTTTAGTCGAGACTTCAGGCTGTTTAAGAACCTTCCGCAGTATAACTGTCATAGAAACTGAACTTGGTAATTACAATC